CCCTGGACCTCGGGGCCATGGAAGCGCGATCCAGTCCACGCACGGAACGGCAGCTCCTGGCAAGGTGAAAGCAAGTCTCCTCATAGGGCTCTCCGGTCTCACCGGGACCGATGGGCCCGCCCCGTCTGCTGCCGCCGAGTGTGCAAGAGCGGAGCCTGTCTACATCATCGTCTCCATCTGCGGGTCGCGCCTCCAAGCACCCCCCACCCTGGTCGGTACCACCGGCAGAGGGTGGCAGCCCGAGGACTCGTCTAAGGATCCAGTCAGGCCCTGCCGGAGGTGAGGGCCACGAGGGCCATGCAGTTGGTCCAGGCGTTTTTCGCAGAAGTAGGGCTGACGAACATTTTTAAAACTGGGCGGACTAGTGTATAACACTAATTTCACCATGGAACTGTTGGGATTTAAGAGCCAATCTGACTTACTTGCAACGCGCGTTTCACCAGAAGTCTCACGCGGTGGCATGTCTCCTTGAAACGAAGCTACGAAGCTGACGTCGAACACGGTTATGAACTTATCATGCCACACTCTGTACCGGAAAGACATGCCTACCACTACAGTGGCCCATGGAGGCGTGACCGTAGCAGCCCACCACAGTGTGTCTTCGAGGCCAGTATGCCTCCGCACCACGCTGCAAGCGGTAGCAGTATCCGTGTACATAAAGTCTTTTTCGCAACGGTGTGCTCTTTGTACATGCTACCCACCACGTGCATATCCGTGACAGACCTCGAGACTCTCGTCGATCAGCCGACAGAAATCTGTCAGATGTGTGGCAGAACTCTGTTGTTGAACTCAGCTGACAGAACTCTGTCAGAACGCTGCAAACTGCACACTGCGAACCTATCCTTGCACGACACAGACGGCAGTGGGAGTTGTCATCCCTGGACTTCCGTCCAAAGGGTTATGAGGGCTGCAACCACCCATTCACCATGATGGAGTTGAAGAGGGCTATGCAAGCTCTTCGCGATGTAGCAGAAGGTCCCCATGGCGTTCATAACGTGATGCTTCGTCACCTCCCGTACCTATTACTGCACAGTCTCCCCAGCACATTGAACTTCGTGTGGCAAAAGGATGACTTTCCACTTCCATGGAGAGAGGCCATCGTTATACCTCCGCCAAAGGTCGTAAGGAGCGGTGAAGACCCAAGCGACTATCGTCCCAAAGCGTTCACATCTTGTCTTTACAAATTACTTGGAAAAATGGTAGAGCCTTGCTCGATGTGGTATCCTGAAAAGAACAAACTTCTTTCTAACATACAGTGCGGTTTCCGGAAAAACCGAAGTACGATTAATCACCTTGTATGCTTGGATACAGTGCCACGTGAATGCTTCAAATGTAAACGACGCCTGATTGCTATCTTCTTTGACATCGAGAAAGCATATGATGCTGCATGGAAACACGACATTCTCACTAGGCTCCACGAATATGGTATACGCGGGCATATGGCACATTTCCTTCGGAATTCCTCAATGACCGATCATTCAGAGCCAGAGTGAGCTCAGCCTTATCTGACGTCTACGCTCAAGAAAACGGTGTGGCGCAGGGCAGCATAGTCAGCATTTCTCCCTTTGCTCTAATGATTTACGACATCGGGACATGCTTTTCACCACATATCGTGGCCTCGCTGTTCGTTGACGAGCTGGCAATATGGCGCAGCGCGCAGGCAACTAGTGCCGCACGACAGCTGCAAATGTGTGTGAACGGCTTGGAGAGATGGAGTCGCCGCAAAGGCTTCAAATTTTCGACAGCTCTAACGATGATTATGCGTTTTGCAGGAAGCGAAAAATCTATATGGATCCACAGGTATACATGCATGGGCAGGAAATCTCAAAGAAGTCTGAGGCACGGCTCTGAGCCTCGGGCCGGTATTTCACAGCAAACTGACGTATGCATCGCATATTAAAAAGCTTAGAGAAAGGTGCTTTAAGGATGCAAACATTCTCAAAGCCGTATCTAAGATCATGTCTACCACTGGCCGCAGAACACGGATTCTTCTGTACAGATCGCTGTCCGATCAAAGCTAGAATATGGCTGTTAAGCTTTCGAATCCGCCGGCAGTTCAGTGAAACACATGCTTGACGCAGTCTACCATGATGGAGGATGCATTGCTACTGGGCATTCAGGACCAGCCCGATCTTCAGTCTCTCGGTTGAAGCGAACAAACCGCCAATTATTCCAACGCGAAATGGTCAGCGCAGGGTATGCCCTAAAAATTGCACAGTTTTGGGCACATCCTTCCTTTCGCTGGATCCCCACGCGACATCTAATTCAGCCGTTCGAGGGTGATAACGTTAGCTCATCACAGCTTATGTGTGTGAGAGTCAAAAGGAGTCTGCAAGATCCTAGCATCAGTAGGAAGGACGTCACTTGTGTGATTGTACCACCATGCCCACCATGGGGCCTACCAACACCGATCTACAATTTTTAGCTTCATGTCATGGCCAAAAGATGAACAAGTGCCGATGAGTTTTGCTCTGTGCTCCTCCAGCGCACATGAATCGATCACGACACTTACTTTCACATATACACGCGATGGCTCAAGGTCCGAGACAGGCACAGCATGTGCTGCGGCGTGTGACAGCTCAACGAAATGTTTGACATCGTTCCCTTTTTGTTCGGGTTTTACCGCTGAACCTTTTGCAATCAAGGAGGCATTAGCCTCTGCGGAGGAGGAACGAGCGGAGCAACTTCTTATTCTGTCTGACTCCTTGAGCAGTGTTCTAGCCATCCATTACTTGAAGACAGAGCATGTCTTAGTTGACCTGGTCATTTGATTTACTGCATCCCTTGAGCAGATCGGAAAGAGCGTTGTTTTCGGTAAGGTGCCTGGACACGCCGGCATTACTGGGAACGGGAGGGCGGACACTAAGCGGGACCTACTCTCGCTCTTCCCGAGCGCCGTTCTCTGGCTTCAGGCATGTGCTGTCAGGTCACTTAAAGTAAAACTGGCAAACAGCATGAGATCGGAAGAGCGCTGACGATCATGGAAATTCGCGAAGGAAGCTTAACACGCGCCAGGGTGGACGGCTAGATACCCTTCGCTCGGGTGGGGGCGGGGCCAATTTGACCCCCTGAGATCTCGGGAACTAAGAAAGCTAGAGGCACCAAATTTTCAAGGTGTATCCCGCATGTGAACTCACTTAGGTCGAAGTTTGAGGCTCCTAGGTCATGACCTTCAGGTCAAATAAAGTCAAACAATGTCAAATTATAGGTTGGTCTCCAAAGTGCCCCACAACCTAGATAGCTGTTTCTGAACAAAAGTTCACAAACCAATTGAAGGTCAGTGACCTTTTCTGACCTTTTGAAGGTCATGGTGACACAATCATACAAGACTGCTCCGAGTTTTGCATTTGAATAAACGACAAAGATTACGCTAGGCAGTATGCTCCTAAAAACAAAATGTCGACCTGAGTCATCTTAGGTCAATGACCTATTCGCACCTCTTACAAGTCAATGGAAGATAACGATGCGGTTCCTGCTGTCAATAAATTTGAAATGTGCACCAAAAACTATCCCATACAGCAAGCCCTAGAGAAATAAAACAGAGTGGTTCTACCTTGGTCTGACGTTCATACCTGACCTTAGCTCAGCGTAATTTGCTCCTTTAATACTTGTTTTGTCTAAGAAAGCATCTCAGGGATGTATGGCTTCGCCGAACACCCTGTTGTTGCATCAGATTGAATGATTCTCTAGAAATTGCCTTCGCTGAAACATGGCCTGGCTTCGACCTGCCATAGTTCAGCGACCTTACGAGGCACATCTAAATTTGTTATGTCAAATGATCCATTATCAATTTTTTACAGCTAGGCAAAATTTGGCGTGGCTACGCCGCGCCGTTCGGAAATTACTTTAGAAAAACCTTCGAAGGGTCAACTTGACCCCCACCTGAGCGTGTGCTAAGGCTGTCAAGTCAAACGCAGTCGGGTGGCAGCCCTCCCATCGCGATGGTAGAAGGGAGAAAATTAGCCTGTGCCGCATCCACATAGGCCACATTTACGGAACAGGCGCTTTTTCCACTTAGCAGGGCAAGCAGCGGAATGTCCTCGTTGTGATCACGCGCTGTCTGTCGCCAAGGTCCTCGTGCAGTGCACTCTGCCACGGACCGCTATAGTCACTTTGGTCGCCATTTGCAACATCGATTGTCCTTGCGTTCACTCATAGGCGAGGACCCCACCGTCGACGTGAGAGCAGTTCTTGCATCCTTAACGACACGGACATCACGGCCATTTATTCACCTTTGCGGCATCTTCTGAAGCCGCACGACCCTGCACTCCAGCGTACTTACTTTGCACTCCGCGTGCCGTGATCGTTCATTTTTCTCAAGTTGTGTGTGTACATTTTTTTTTTGGGGGGGGGCATGCGTCGGAAACCTACAACAACGACCTTGTTTGACATACCACACCACAGTTCTGCACAGTCATAGTTTGGGCGGGAAATTAACGCGGCTGTGGACCCACCCTTAAGCCCAAATAAGCCCAAATGACCCAAATAAAACCCTAAAGCTCGAATAGCGACGTCCCCTTAAGCCCAAATGTTTTCACCCGCACCTTGCAGGCCCGCGGGCTTAAAACTAGCACCTCCACTGGCATGAATGACGTTAGTACAAAAGAACGTTTGTAATTGGCACAGCGCGTGGCAAGTGCTAGTTACCGAGCAGCGCATTGGTTGAAGTTTGAGCCAGTGCGTCATTACACCAAGTGAGACCTTGTTTCATAAAGCCAAAATGCTCTTAGAAATGAGGTAATAGGGGAGAAACGCTATATATATATATATATATATATATATATATATACACATATATATATATATATATACATATATACATATATATATATACATATATACACACATATATATATATATATATATATACATACATATATACACACACACACACACACACATATATATATATATATATATATATATATATATATATATATATATATATATATATATATATGCATATCTCAAGAAAAACATACCCACAGGAGACAAATCAGTCATAGTATGACGTGCCATTGAGTTCGCGGGATAACAACATCATCTGTACATATCCCTTTCTCTAAAAAGAGTGTTTCCAGCTTTCATTGGATTTATTACACATGCATCTGGACAATTTGGTGTTTTGCAGGCATCACAGAATGCACACTTGGGAAAAAGCAAGACATAGTAAAGGGTTTTGTTGCGTAGTGATGACCAGAGAGTCCGATAAGGTTCCTTTCGCAGGAGCGGCCACTTCAAATCGAAATTCGAAGCTTTTCAGAAGGATTTCGCGAAAACTGGCATCACCGATCAAATTAAGCGCGCCTGACCTAATAAGTGAAAAGTACAAAAAGGTAGCATACTCGCTTATAAAAGGGAAGGGCCGTGAACTGCATGGAGTGATCCTTAAGATGGCTGATTTAGTTCAAAATCCCATGGAAACGTGGGAGTCTCCCTTTAATTTTCCTCGTCGTTAACCAGTTTTCTTACAGCTGGTTTGGTTGTAAGGATGTGTCATACGTTTTGCCTCATTAAAGCCTTTTTCTCCTTTTTCGCGCTGGTTTACAGGACTCAAATGAGTTATCAACTGGATGGCCCTAACAAAACAACAAATTCGTTATCTTTCATGACCCTGTTCTGAAGACTTCACGGCAGTTCATTATGGTTTTGCACCAGAATTTCATAACTCCACCCCAGGGTAGCAGATGTTTCTGCTAATCACACATTAATCTCGAGAAAATACCCAGCCAGCATTTTTGTAATTCCTGCCGGGCCTGAGACGGGTAGTCCGGTTGGGCAGTGTCCGGAAACCCGGCATAACCCTGGATGATCCTTGCAGAATTTTGCTGACGGCCGCGGCAAGATGTGACACTTTTCTGGATGTGAGCAGGATGTGGGGATAGCCTTTTATTTGACACTCAGTCCGCGGCCCAGCTGCGCACCACTCTGGACCATGCAGGGCACATATCAGGGCATCGGTGTGGCCTGGGCCGTATTCCAGACGCGGTCGCGGGGGTCAGGCTGATTTGGTTTGGTCAGTTTTCAACAGACGTTTCTGTCAATCGGCCAAGAACCCAACTCGGGACCAGGCTATTTCATTTGTTCAGCTGTCAGTAGACTTACCTTCAACTGTCGGGCAAGGCAGCGCGCCCACCTTGGAGCTCGTAACCGGCACTATTGCATTGCGTGTAGCCTTTCCATCAGACCACGGGGACTGCAGACACCACGCGCATCAACAAGGCTTGCGCTGCGCCAGTGTCCCGCTTCCAGATTAGCAGTGCATACACTGACTTAAACTGAGGCGAACCAGACCTCGTCACAGATTCAAGCGATGCCAGGTTTTAGTTTCCTTAATCCAGCCGGTATAGACAGCTCATTGCTTGCGAACCACCGAGCTATAGAGTTCAGCGTGACACTCGGTGAAACCACAAGAATGTTGTAAGGTATTCTTTAACCCACCACCGCCCCATTGCCTGCACCTATTCTCGAATCAGAGTACAAATCCATTAGCGGTACCTCACCGCCAAAAAATTGAACTTGGTAGAACCCCACTACTCCCACCTAGCGGTCAGAGCTCGCCACGTAGCCGACTAGACTGCTCGTGCGCATTCCACGGCTCGGCCAACGGCAGGCTTTTCCAGAAGCGGACGCGCTCTTCGAAGGCATGGTCTCCAAGGGCCGGCGCCGCGTTCAGCCGCAGGTGGCGTTGACTCTGCGCCGTGAAGATGGGCCAGGCGGGCGCGTCCAGCACGTCCGTGGTGGGGTAGCCGCGCCGTGCAAAGCTCGTCCACAGGTTCACCAGAAGCCGGATCATGGTGTGCTCGGGCGAGCCGCGCTCCGGCAGCGGCTGCCGTTCACCGTGGAACAGATAGGCCAGGTCGTCGCCGTGCGTAGCATGCGGCGCCGGCGGTACCGGGATCTGTAGCAGATCGGTGAAGTGCATCTGGCCCGGCCCCACGTGGTCCAGCACGTATTTGTAGACAGGCACGTACTGCGACGCCAGCTCAGACTCGGTCGACAGTGTCAGCGCAGCTAAGCGGTCACCGAAGAAGTCCATGAGACCAGCATTAGAGTTGCCGCGGCTCTGGAAGAAGTCACGGATCTTGGCAGCGACCTCGAGAGGTTTCTCAGTCTTGTCAGAGAGACTACCACCGCACATGAGCTCATTGGAGCCCCATGCCTCCAGGTCTCCCTCTTGGGCTCGCTTCAGGGTGTCCGAACTACTGCCATGAACAAAGTTGAGGACGAACAGACCTTCGTCCCGCGCACATCCCATCATCCAGGGCACGCGGCTGAACTCACCCCGCTGGAGCAGCACGTTCGGCTCAGCCGGCATGAATGGTGACGTGGCCTCCGGGTCGACGCGCGGGTGGAACTTTTTGGACCGAGCGCTGGCCGAGGGGCCCAGCGCGCCAAGCACTCGCATAATATCATCGACCGACGCGCGTCGCACACACTCGAGCACGGCCCGGCTATGCTCCGACGGGCAGCCGAGTTCGGCGGCGAAGTGCAACGCCAGGGGCCGCTGCCGGCCGCCGACCACGTAGCAGGCCGAGGCGCCACCCGACTGGCTGACGGCTCGGTGAAACAGGCCGGCCGACAGCGGGCTGATTACCTGCAGCGAGACGCTGGCGCCGCCGGCCGACTCGCCGAACAGCGTCACCAGCTGCGGGTCGCCGCCGAAGCGAGCGATGTTGCTGCGCACCCACTGCAGCGCCAGCACCTGGTCCAGCAGACCCACGTTGCCCGGCGCCACGGCGTCATCTGTGGTGAAGAAGCCGAACACGTTGAGTCGATAGTTGAGAGTGACGACCACGACGTCCTCGTCCATCAGGAAGTCAACGCCGTAGAGGTCGGCGTCGCCAGAGCCGCTGACAAAGCCCCCGCCGTGGATCCACACCATGACGGGCAGACCGGGCTCACCGTCACCAGCTGGCAGTCGGGGCGAGTACACGTTGACGAACAGGCAGTCTTCCTGGCCCTCCTTGATGTTGTCATTCATCATATTGAACTGCAGACACGTGGCACCATGCCGGGCGGCGTCGCGCACCCCCGACCAGCCGGGGTGAGCGCGCGGCGGCCGGAAGCGCAGGTCGTCCACCGGTGGTCGGGCATACGGGATGCCCTTGAAGGCGACATACTGGCGTCCCTCGAACGAGCGAAGCGTGACGCCGCGCAGCACCCCGTCACCGAGCCGGACCAGCGGCCGCTCGGCTAGCGACAGCGCCAAACACCCGAGCACGAGCAACGCGCGCATCCCCCCGCGGACTTGGTCGTGCGACTAACGCGCGGACTTTACGGCGGGCGCAGAGTGCGGCGGCGGCGGGGCACAGGCGGCGTGCCGCAGGCAAGACTGCCGCCTGGCAACAAGGCCACGGATGATTTGCAGTTAGCGGCGGCAGTATCCACCAGAGGCACTGTTGAGCGGTGCGATTTAAAACAGTGGGACCGTTTCTGGAATGAATAGTAATGCAAAACGAACAGCTTATACGTTCGCCCCTAACATTGCCCAGAGCGCGCCACTGTGCCAAGAGTTGGCAGTTTGCCAGCGCGGCGGGTACGCGAGAGGGACGCGCAGAACTCGTTTGGGTAAGGGCAGCACAATGGTCTTAGTCCTTTTCGTTACACCGATATGGGTCAACACCGTGTGCGACCACCGCCCGTGAGGTTCGTCCTGGCGGTGCCACTACAGGGCCTGAATGTTTGGCATCTTTAACCTATCTATCTGACCTATCCACTATCTAGCTGCTTACAGCAAGCCGCGGCAGCGTCCATCAAAACCGCACGAGATGCTGGCCGGATTGATATAAGACAGCGGAGCGGAATCATCTCCGGAAAGGCGAACTGCAGAGAAGAGCGGCTTCGGCGTTTCTCCCGTGCCGGCGCCCTGAGCTCGCCTCTGTGTCAAGAGCTTACACGCGCGCAGTGCGGCGGCTGAGCGATAAGAACGCGTGAAACTGGTTTGGATAGATCCGGTTCTTGTTGCAATGTTATCCTGCACCTAGTACGGTGAGTTTACACCATGGTAAGGGTTGTGGCGACACACATCCTGTCCGACCTTTTCCTTTGTCCAGGACCTGTGAGATCAGTGAGATTGTAGGATTGCTATTTTCAGCATTGATGTTCAGGAAGTCTAGAAGGAGTGTGTCTATTCTTTTCGGCCTGTCAAAAAGACGCTACTACAGGTATTTTGACCATGCTTGTGATATTAGCAGCAACAAAAGGTCCATTTGGTTCGTGATTCTGTGCGGATAGCTCAGTTGGTTAGAGCGCCTGTATTCCAGTTCATCCGCGAAGGGTCGCTTTTCGAGAATTCGAGTCGCTTTCAGCACTTGCTGTTTGCCCCCTGGCTGGCATGGCCTGTCGCCATTGGCAGCGGTCACAATAAAGGTTAGGTGAAGTCAGAAGGCAGGACGGACCGTGCAGAGGATTACCGCGCGTTAAGTTTTCGTGGCGTTTTAAGATTCATTCAGGGCAAGCCGTCTTCAGCAGAACCGGTACTCTCGGGCACGCGCAGCGCCCACTGCGGCCAACAACGGTGATCAGAGAGCCAGGAGTTTGCGGAGGCAGTTCGCTAACAGTGTTAGTTTCAGGGACACGGGTTCACCAGGTGCCCGCATCAGCCGGGGGAAAACAGGGTAGCTCCATGCGCTGCAAGTGTCTCACAGCGCGTGCAATGTGCTGTCTTGATGGCACGATACGACGCCCTGTGTCAAACAAACAACAAGTACATCGCTGCAAACGGTGAAACTTATTGGCCCAACACTTGTCAAATTTTTGAAGAAGAAGTTGCCCTTCATTATTATTATTCCTTACTGTTGCTTGCGTGGAACCACGAAGCAGATGCCAGTGTTTTCAGGAAATACAGTTATGGTTGTCTTGTTTAAGCCGAATGACTGTTAGATGTTTTTTATACTAGTGCTCCACCCGATTCGACAGTTGATTTTGCCTTCCATCTTTTCGGGAGACCTTATGCCTATTATCATTTGACTTATCAATTATTTGACACGGCAACGCTGTATAACCATAGACGCCGTTTCGCCCGCCACCAACTGGCATCTAACAGGCCATCAGCCGCCTCTGGGACTCAGAGCCAGCTATCTACCACACCACGTGCTGGAATCGGATGTCTGAAATCTGAACCACCCTGCGCACGGCTGAGGAGGAATGAAATTAGCACACATATTGACCTCAAACTTCTGAACATTCCGAAAAAATGCATAACTGACAGCTTCAAAAGAGTTTTGGCAAGCCACAGAGTTTAAGGGCCAAAATCGGACTTCTTGGATTAAAGTTCAGAGCTGCTATACTGATTACATTCATTTTTCGGTTATTCTCGTAAAATGTTTAGGTGGTAGCTTCAGAAACAGCTACGTAGCAGCCTTAAAACAAGAGAAAATAAATATTTTCAAAATTTTTAAGTGAAATATATGAGAACCTAATTTGGTATGTAGCCCTTCAACCTTCCGAACGAAGTTAAATGAAACATAAGGCTGATTGGGGGTACCCAGATATAACTCATTAACCCTGAATACTGGTCTTTACCAACCCTATATATCCACTTACATATATATATATATATATATATATATATATATATATATATATATATATATATATATATATATATATGCCGCTAAGGCAGATGCCTCCAACTCAATCAAAATATGCAATGGCTTAAGCCTGATGCAATACGCAGAATACATAATGATGATCTTAAGGATGACGTAAGATAGGTAATAGATACAATTATGCACCAGAATAAATCAAACAGCTTTATTTCATTACAGCAAAGCAAAATGGTACCTGCTTATCTCCCAAATATGCTATGGCTTAACATGCGCCCGGCTGGCCGATTGGATATCCTTCGCTCGGGTGGGTGGCTAGTTTAAGCCGTGCTGAGATTTCAGAAACTAAGAGGGCTAAACACACCAAATTCACAGGATGTGCTGTCTTCTACGTCAACTCACTAAGATCAAAGTATGAGGTCTCTAGGTCATGGCCTTCGTTTCAAATAAGATCAAATATGGTCCGACTTCAGATTGGTTTCCAAGGTGTCCCAGAACCTAAATACTTACTGTAATCAAAAGGTCAAATTCTCATTTAAGTCCAGTGACCTTGGTTGACCTTTTCAAGGTCCCAGTGGCAAGATCATGGAAGACTGCTTTGAGTTTGCATTTGAGGAAGCGACAAAGATTGCGCTAAGCAGTATGTTCCTAAAAAGGACACGTTGGCCTGTGTCATTTTGGGACAGTAACCTAACCTAACATTTAAGAAGTCCTTTGAAGTTCTAATGCGTTCCAGTCATCAATAAATTTGAAATGAGCACCACAGCCAATCCCTAACAGCAGGCCCTAGAGGAATAAAGCAGGCTGGTGTTGACCTTGGTTTGACCTTCCCACCTGACCCTAGAGCAATGTAATTTAGTCTGTAATTTAATTACTGTGCTGCATAAGAAAATATCTCAGAGATATGTGGCTTCCTCTAACACTCCGTTCTTCAATGAGATTGGACCATTCCCCAGAAATGGACTTTTCTGAATCCATGGTCTGACTGACCTGCCGCAGATTAGATACCTTACAAAGTGCGTCTAACTTTCTATACCAAACGATCCACTATTCAATTTTCTACACTTACGCAAGTTGTTTTTCGGAAACCATTCCGGAAAAATCATCGGGGGTCGGTTTGACCCCCACCTGAAAGGGTGTAAGAGCAGACAAGTATATCTCCACCTCACTCAGGTCGCTTGGCTTGCCTCTACAGAAAACCTTGCCTGCGGCACCGAAGTCACTGCGCCGAGCGCAAAGCGTAAAAGGGACAAATGAAGGGAACTTGTGTGGTGCCGTCATGGTTTCGTACAAGAACAGGCTGCAAGAAGGGCAGATAAGATCGGCCAACACAAGACAAAGAAAAAAACAGCATCCAGGAAAGAAAAGAAACAGAGAAAGGAGTTCGTGCCGAAAGTATGTGTGCAGGTTCCTACGTCAAGTGACGAAGACGGGGGCCGGTGGCGCACTCCGCCTCTATTGCAAAAGCAAGTACAGCTGTTCTGCGCCAGAAGACGGCCAGACGCGCTCTTGGCTGGCCAAGAAACGGGCACATGACATGTGTGCTTGGGCAAGCGAGGCTGATGCGGCGTTCTCATGACATGTGTGCTGGGGTAGGCGAAGTTGATGTGGCGTTCTCATCACCTGTGTGCTGGGGTAGGCGAGGTTGATGTGGCGTTCTCATGCGATCCGTGCACCACGGCAGAGTAAATTTCTGTACCAGGGTGGGAGAATATTCGATGATTGGTTGGCAACATGATGATTGGAGTCAACAGGTTGTGTTATATTACAGTGTACACCTCAAGGCTCACATGCTGTGATAACAGCACGGCTTTTGGGAAAAAGCGAGCTTATGTTGCTGTTTTCTTTGCATAAGACCTTGCGATAATTGCAATGTAACCGCGTATGTTCTTTTATTATTCTCTTTTGTCATTTATTTTCTTGTTCCGTTTTGTTTTAGGTCACAACTAAATTTCAGCTTGCAGCTTGTTTTCAAATCTAGTTTTGCAGCCTGAACATTTTAGTTTGTACATGGGAATACAGAAAAACGTACACCGATGTAAATGATCGCGCTTTTCACTTTCAGTGCACTCAAGTTCTCACAAAAGTTGGCGCATGGTAGATGTGAATGAGACGCTTATATGCATGGATGCATGTAGCTTCTGCCTGTTTTGCAATCAGCAGTACGTGACGGTGACCTAGTCTAGCGACCTAGTGAACTAGTGACCTAGTCACCGGACCTAGTGACGGGTCGGAAAACAAGATGATCTTATGATTATGCGTTTAGGTATGAATTATATAATTAGTGGAGCGAGATGGCATAAAGCTTTACGTGGAACGAACAGAGTTGTTTCTAAGAAAAAGGCAAAGAGATCAGGAAGTAGGATAAGGTGGTTGTCACCGAGCAAGAGGCGGTTGTGGAATGGAGGCATGGGGGACCAAAAGAAGGCCACGTGCTGCTGCGTGGCGCAGAAGGGGTGCCCGTTCGGATTAAAAAAGAAACAGGTGATGAGGGCTTGTTCAATGAACAAAGCGAGTCGACAAAACAAAACAATGCAAGAAGGGCGAACTTCAAAAGACTGTAGTTTGTCAAACGAATATGGCCCGCTTCGACGAAAACCAACGCTTCCACTTCAGGTCGCCTGCTATGGTTTCTGCCCGACCGCTTCTTCAAATCGGCTTGCTGCGGTAGGCTCCCGAGCGACCGCAGAGTCCCAGCAGGCCAACGCCGCGGTCAGTATAAGCCGGCTCGGCTGCCTGCCAGAGACGTCATCAGGAGCGTCAAATGAGGCGTCAGAGGCGTCACCAGGAGCGTCAAATGCTGGGGAAGGCGTACCACCGGTGTTGACCCAGGCGGAAATAAATGAAGCACCTAAAACCCGCAACCCAACAAATCACCACCCTGCTAATGCGAACGAGGCCCCGCCTGTTCTGGGTGCGCGAGTGGCAGCGTAAGGGGCGAGCGCTGCACTGGTCGCGGTCGGCTTCAGTGTTTACACGTGGCCGCCGGCGCCACGAGGCCCACCGGTCGTCCGCCGGCCACCCGACGATGCACGTCATGACGCCGCTGCTCACGTGCTGCCTGTGCATGGCTCTGTGGACGCTGACCGCGGCAGAAGGTAAGCCGTCGCTGGCTGTGAGAGAACTGAGGCCGCAGCGAGACCAGGTCGAGCCTAAGCGATGTCTGTAACGGCAGCAGGAGTTATTTCAGTTCACTAGTTATTCAGTATCGCACTTACGGCGAGAGGTGAGAGGAGGGCGAGGGTCAAAGGCATGGGTGCCACTTTCTGAATTCGATTGGAGCGGGTAGCTAAGCCGATGAGGTTGGCGTGCCCCTCCCCTCGCTAAAACATGATTTCTCACCTGATTTCGACCACTGTGTATTGTACTTTAGGATAGGATAGCATAGCATAGCATAGCATAGCATAGCATAGCATAGCATAGCATAGGTTAGGTAAGGTAAGGTAAGGTAAGGTAAGGTAAGGTTAGGTTAGGTTAGGCTAGCTTAGGTTAGGTTAAGTTAGGTTTGTTTAGGTTAGGGTTAGGTTAGATAGTCAGATATGCATTAAGGAGCTTCCAAAAAGTGAGCTTTCTAGTTTGCACGTCAAGGTACATGCAATAGTCACAGAAGATACAACAGACAACACAGGTGAATGTGGCGCACCACTCTGTACCATGTGTTCATCTGCTTGATAAATAAAGGGGCAAGATTGTCCTTGAGGACGTGTGGCTCACGGCTTTCAACACCCGCACGTCTGCAGGCAGCAGGCTCCACTCGCTAGATGCGCAGAACATGAGCGAGCGGCGCCCAAATTCAGTTCGGTCACTTGGCAGGTGCAGCAGCTCGGCGGCCGTTGCTCGAGTTACACGAGCGGAAGAGCGGCGCACTACACGCCCTTATAGCATCCCGGCACATTCAAGTGTTCGGTGATGTTGACCCATCCTAGTTCACGCAGCGTGAGTGTCACCCGGTGATACGAGCGCTGCGATACGATACAAATTTTGAGGCTTTTGCTGCCGTCGCTTCTGAGTCACGTTACACCCTCCTTATACCGAGAAACAGTAACGTACATGGAACCAAAACGGAACGTGCATCACATCGCTCGCCGTTCGCAGGCGAGGCGTGCGTGGTGGACGCGGCCGGCACCAGCGGCGAGTGCAGGCGGTTGATCCGGTGCCAACCTTTGCACAAGCTGTACCTGGCGCGCAAGGCCGGCACGGCCGGGCCGGAGGCGGTGACGAAACTGCGCGCTCTGGCTGCCAAGTGCCCGCCAGCGGCACCGCGCCGTCTCTTGGTAAGTCGCGCGAAGTTCTCTGGCCTGGGACACATGACGGGCCGGCGGGTGGCACGGGTTTGGTGCAGGTGACCAGCACCTGGGAGTACCCGGGCTCGGTCCTGTGTGTCATGTCACTGCCACTGTGTCAGATCTCAATACAGCAGCATGCATGAAACTTGTAACAGTTATGAAGCCCCCAGCTCACGTACCATGCACTTACATGTATGGTTTCTGGTCTGGGGCGGGGGGGGGGGGGTACAGGCATTGTTTTATCTGTTTGGCTTAGGCTGGATACGGAAGCTAGATGCATAGAACTGCATTATCACAACGACTTTTAGACGGCACACTGAGCTGAACACACGCCCTCAACATGGCATGACCTGAACCTTAAGTTACGATATGGTAAAAGAGACCTCCCTAACCAATATTATGTTAGGCTGGGTCACGCTACGCAAGGTTGCCGAGGTCGCAAGGTCAAAATGTTTGCAAAATGGTTAAGCGAAGTACTTGAATGAATCAGTGGATTATTGTAAACATATTTTAATGTTACGAGTTGCATGCCTTTTGAGACGCCCAACTATCATGATGTCTCAAAAATGCCCGGGGATATCTAAAAAAGCATTAATCGGACCAGGCACAGATCCGCACAGATCACATGAGAACGACAGATAACCTAAAATAACAGCTTAGAAGTAAATTATGAAGGAATAGGCTATTGATCCCCTGTCGGTCTGTTGCGGAATGATCCAGGAGACCATGATATGCAGTCGCGGGGCAGAGCAGACGATTTTCCCTTGCTCACCACTGCACTGACGGGGCAGAAGCGATGAGCGTCTGCGTCACTGTAAGGCGTGTGCCTCTCAAATTGGGAGGGGTTTGCGTACGTCGGAAACAACACGACATCCGTACATCTCAATGTGCGCCAGTTCTGTGCGCATCCGCGCAAAAAACTAGCACATATTGCGGGGCATCTCAAATTTGAGATGCCTGCAATATGTGCCAGTTCTTTCGTAGCACCTGTCTTGTGTAGTCTTGGACTCCTTGGACCTCAGCCGTTATCTTGCACACTCATTGTTTTTTTTTATTTCCTGTCAGTAGCAGCAGATCCCCTCGGGCGTTGGGTATGGGGAGAGACAAACACAGCATTCACCTCATCTCTTTTCATGCCAGCACCCGAACCCAGGAGTGATGCCTTCTTAAAAACGACTGGGGAAGGGTCTCAGCCGAAAGGTCTAGCTTACCCTTACCCGTAAGGATAACGAAAATAACTTTCTGTTATCGCTCATCGGATGTGGTCCGATGGGCAAAAAGACCGTTTCTTTCAGAATGGCGTGGCCTGACAGCGGCTGTGGAAACAATCTTTTGTGTACACTTATGAGAGGTGCTTGTACCTAAAAGTGCAACTGAATTGACGCAAGCATCTTACCAGATATGCTGATAGCTGGAATGACACATAAGGTAAAGACTGGTGACCAGTGTGACCCTCTTAAAGGGAGTATTCCACATTTTTTGCACTTTTCACGTCATAGCTAGATCAGACGAGTTCGATTTGGTCGATAGTTTCCTCGAAGTCTTTCTGAATAAGAAAATGCCATTGCACCCTTTGGTCGCCACTGTGAAATTATCGCTTTCCATTTGTTTAACTTTATCGAGTACAGGTCATATGCACTGCTTTTAATACCCGCCCAGGTGATCGGCTGAACACCCTTCACTCGGTTGGGGGTCGATTTGACCTCACTGGGATCTCAAAAACTAAGATAGCTGGAAACGTCAAGTTCACAGAGTGGGTTAAAGTTTACGTGAAAACACTTGTGTCAAAATTTGAGGCTCTCAGGTTCTCACCTTGGGGTCAAATAAGGTCAAACGGGGTCAAACCCCAGATTGGCGTGTCAAGTGCCCTTAAACGTCATCATGTAACCGCCCTGAAGTTGGGATACCTGTTCTAAGCAAAAGGTCATTGGTGTACAGCTAGGGTCAGTATCCTCGTGTAATCTTATAAGATCAAGTGGACCAAATGGCTTCGAGACTGCTCCTATTTTGCCATTCGGATAACCGTCAGGGATTTCGCTAGGTTGTATGTTCCTAAGAATAAGGTGCTGACCTGGGTCAGTTCAGATCAGTGGCCTACTATGACCTTTAAAAAGTCCATGGAACGCGTGTGTTGTAGTCCCTATGTCAACAAATTGGAAATGAACATCAAAAACCGCCGCATTAATCAAGCTCCCTAGTAAAACAGCAAGTAAGGTTTGACCTCGGTCAGACCTTCTTACCTGACCCTAGGTCAATGAAATTGGTTGTAATTCTAGATTCAATTGTTTTGTTGCTTAAAAAACTACCTTATATATGTGTGGCCTCGTCTAACACTCTAGTTTTGCATCACATTGAACGATTCCCCCAGAATTACTCTTCGCAGACATCTATGACCTGACTTTGACCTGCCATTGGTCAGCGACCTTAAAAGGTAAACATAATTCTTGCATCAAAGCATCTTCTATTTAAGTTTCTGCTATTATGCAAAAATTGGCGCGGATACGCCGGGCTGTTCTCAAATTATTCTGGAAAAGCCAATTTGATCCCCACGCGAGCTCGTCATAATAGACTGATTGGTAGAACCCTGTGTTCAGCGCAAAAGATATACGTTTATGCGGCCATTATCGCGCAAGCTCAACAAAACTTGGCACTGTGGCGTTGATCTATCTCCTATGGTGTCTAGTGCAATGATTCTTTTCCAATGGTACTTTGGCTTTGGGAAGCATTGTTTACGTGGATGCTCAGTTCTTTACAAGATTGCGTTCATAAAACAAAAATATGCCAGTGGAAGGTCACGTAGTTTAGTGATGGATGTATCTTAATCTCAACATTTGCGTTTTCCACCTTTCACCTTTCAGCCATGCATGTCGCGCTAAATGACCTCTGTGTCAATCTCTGTGCTCTGCTAACCTCTGTGCCAATCACAGATGTTTACTTCTACTGATGTCATTCACGACAGTCTACACGCAAATGTAAAACACGCTTACATTCGAAATCATGGTGGGTGAAATTACCGCATGATGTTTAATGAACATGTTTGGCTCCATTTTGCCACAAAATAGGCCACTGTGTGTAGCCTACCTGGGATTAGATGGCAGCAACAATGTCGTACTCTGCTTGCTAGTGGGAGGGAGGAGCGACAAAGCAGGAATGGGGCAAAGATGAAGTTGAAGTTGGGGTAACGTGGGCCTGAAACTGAAGACAATTTTGCAGGTGCAGATGAGAAAACCATGCGTCCTTCAGGTGCATATATTCCTGTAGACACAAATTGCCTCTCGTGGAGAAAAGCTGTTGCAAAGCTACCAATTGAAAGAAGTTTGCTTCCCGGGCTGCAGGTCCTCATAAGGGTTCCTGAAGTCTGCTCAAAGGCCAGAATACAGTAATTCTGCGGGAGGTAGGACACTTGTACATAGTCAAACTTCAAGCATTTTCAGGTGTGCGACTCAACTTAGATAACCACCATCAGATCCCATCAAACCAAGCGCTGGTAGTTTGACATAAAAGGCGTACTTTCCGCCCGTCACAGTCAGTAATGGTGAGCAACAGTAGAGGGAGAGAGAGAGTAGAGATAGCGATTTGCTGTTGATTAGTCGTTCTGATCGCTGGTGGTGCAAAATGATAACTGTCGGAGTTAGTAGTTTTCAGTCGCTCGGTCAGTACAAAGGAGCCCCCACCTTGCGAAGGTGGTAGAACCTGAACGGTCACGCGGCCCGACCCCCGGATTAGGGCGGACGGTGCGGCACGGTGGTGGAGGCGAATGAATGAACAAAGACTCCTGGTATATGAGGATAGGCAGATGAATGGGATGCTGCACACAAACCGGTATTTTGCTTTTTACACTCGTTAGTAGGCTCCATGTGCGATCTGGATGATATCGTCGGCCTCATCGTATCGAGATGCGATTTGATATGCGACATAACATGCACGTTACAAGACAAAAACATTCAGATTATGTGAGGCGTTTCCGGATTTGTGGAGCGATTAGGATATTAAGAAATTCATCAAACCCACTTTTACAAAACAAATGTCACAGATGATCCGGTGGGATCAAGCGCTATCCAATGATGGGTAGCATCACATACCTACTTATTTTGGAGTACATGTCTGTGTTCGGAAACTGAAATGTTGACAGTTGGTACGCACATATCTTTCCGAATGCTGTCCAACGTCATTATTATTATGATTATTGCTACCATTGTTGCGAACCTTGGCGATATCCAGCGAGTGGCTTTTCTAACGCCGCGTCAGCACATACTGCATAGATCAACACAATACACGCAACACATCAAATGAGACGAATTCCAGCGATGCACATACGATGTTATAAAATATGAGCGACCTGTGATACAAATTCTTCTATGTGATACAAATTTGTCCATGTCTATCCACGTGGTGCAATATAGTGTGGTTGAATGACGTTTTACGGACATGCTTTGTTCCTGCGAGCGTGAATACAGCTTTTAACGAAATTCGAGTTGTACGCCATCGGTGTAAAGTCGTTCAAATGGGGCGGGGGAAATGGATACAGGTTTTGACGGTGGGATTTTCCTTCAACTTACATTTGGTAAATATAGTTTATTTCCACCTAAGAGAGTTTTGTGTGGAATAGAATACTGTTGTTTCTTGTGGGCTGTGTGTCGCGGACATCAGCCAATGCAAGGTTTGCCGTTATTTCGGAGGGGTGACTGCATATCTGATACCGCATATTCCATAATAATCTCCAACACGGAATGACCATGTTTCAGGGCGAGTCAATGCATAAATATTTTAGTTCAAACGCTCTGTAACTGTCAGAAAATGTTGTCATATGCATCTAGGGAAAGGTTATACATCAAAATGGCTAAGACAGCACAGATTCAAACCTTTTTCGAGCGTTTATCGTTAAAACCGATTGTTAAAGCGATAGTCGCAGATTGCTGGGTGGTGATTTGGCTAAAGTGGCGGCTTCCCCTTTCCACAAACTTATTGCTACAAATACCAGCCTCGACTGGGGCAAACAACACCATGACAAATTAGGTACAGGCCCCAATAAATATAAAAATAATGAAGATTGACGCAAGCCGATCAATTTGAATGATTTTTTATTATTTAATTTTCCAGAGACAACACGTCATCCGGTGACCGCAGCTAACTCCCGGAGAGCATATCTGGTAAAACTGGACCGGTCTCATGACTGGACGGTCCTCTGAGCGCCCTCAGGGCATATGCACGAGGGAATACTGGGCCAAATAAGTACAGAAGAACCTGTGCCAAATACGAGGTTTTCACGTATCCTTTTTTGCCGCACCACGCACCACCAGAGCAAAGCATGATACAAACACCAGCAAAGCCTGGTAGGTAAGTCTACTCCACGTATTTTTTTACCCGAAGAAACGTGACCGCTAAACTCGGCTAGACAGGCAACTTGCTTTTCCAGCCGAGTTAAAATGCCAACCGATATGGCGTAGCCGCTTTCTAAAGCCATATTGAGTGTTCAGGTCTTGATAGCGGATGGGCGCGGAACAGCCTTTGGTGTTCTGTTATCAGATAGTACCAGTAGCGGTGCTTTGAAGTTGTTCGTTTAAAGGCGCTGACCGATGACATGCGTGTTCACTCTTTCACTTGACGGATTATCTTTGAAATATCGTGACTCCAGCGGAATATAAAGAGGCGGTTTGCTTACGGATGACTACTTATTGCAAAATAATTTCGGACGTTTGGCTTAAGTACTATCATAATGCACCGGGTGCCTTTTCGAGTGCTTCAACTCATGGTTAATCCTTCCCTTTAGCACTTCCTTGAAGCATTCCGCATGAAAAGTGCAAATAACTGCCTTTGACTCGTCGATGTCCGAGATGGAATTATAGACTTCTTCATAACTTCCAAGTTATTTTTTGGCATAACCCTTAACCCTCGCCCACCATGAGCTTTCTATTGAATTGAAATAGCACGTAGTGACCCATAAATGACTCATCAAAACAAATCTGCGTACACTGGGGATGTAGTTTCGCAAAATAGGTTGGGTCGGGAAGGACGAGCACGGAAAAATTACCACAACTACCCACAAATTCATCTGACCCTCTCATCCTCTTCCTGGCTTTATCCTGAATCCTCGCGACGTCCCGCTTGTTCGGGGCAGCCCGCATGCGTCAGCCACGAGTGGGCCAAGACTACCCCTGGAGGGGACCCCGACCGGGCGCCTGGCGCATACTCTCAGAATGGTCCCTGCGCGGGCTTATGCTCGGTGGGTACCCCCTCCCCCCTCCAGCCGCATGTGGTACTGCACCATCGTTATCCAGTCTCCTTCATCCCATAGACCTGAAATGATCATTGCTGGTCGAAAGGGCTCTAATCCAAATAGCCTAAGCCCACAAATTACACCACCAAAATAGGTTTCGCACGGGTTTGGCCCACTCCCTTCTTAAAGTTTGGATGGCGGAGGGGGTGGGGGAGCGCACGTGAGGGGGAGGGGGCGTTATAGGATTGTGTTCCGCGGCTGCATGCTGCGCCTCTTTCCGCCCCGCTACTGCCGCAGGTCGATGACGTGGTGCTGGTGTGAATCCAGCGATGCCCATGGAATGTCCGCTGTTTAGCGCGCCTTGTGCATACAGAAAATTTAAAGTGGGAAGTATTCATGTTCGTGTTTGAGTGTGTCTAGTGTGCGGCACAAGACATCACAACATTCGAGATGCCACTCGGCACAGACATACTGAGGTCGCTAGTTTTTTGCACGCGCACTCGGTGCAAGTAAATGTGGCCGATAACTTGGAAAACAGCAGGCAAGTGATAAACCATCGTCCTGATTCGCCGCTTTTTGATGCAGTGGACTGATAGGGGAGGGGGCCGATGCAAACCTGCCGTGTTTTTTGTTCACAAATTGATCTTATTATGTCAAGTCAAAGGCTATTTTTCTGAACATCCAATTTGCTCAATTTTGCATGCTCATATGTACAAGATCATGCTCCGTAGCGAAACAAAATTTAAACAGACATGTTCCTTGTTCAATTACGAGTACAATGGTAGTACGATGATATAAGATACAATTATATATATATAGTGCGTGTGTGTGGTGTGGGTGTGGGTGTGGGTGTGGGTGTGAGTGTGGGTGTGGGTGTGGGTGTGGGTGTGGGTGTGTGTCTGTTATTACATGTTTTGGCATGTGCTTATGATATATGACTCCCTTAATATAACAGTGTTGGCCCGCCACGCGCGGTTGGCAAAATTGTCGGATTCCGCCCACTACCCGCGCCGGCCGCCCATCGCCGTACAGTGTTCTACCTAAAAAAAATCAAGCCGCCACTGGTCGGAGACTAGACATGCCAGGAGCTTTTTCTTGTCTCAAAACACGCGACGAATACCTCATAGGCAAAAAAGTTATGGGCCATTGCACGACATGCCGAAGAAGTATCCTCAGAACACCTAAAGAGGTTTCATCGACCACCCCCATATCAGGGCGAGGGTCAACACGCGCTCGGGCGTGTGGTCAATTTGACTTCTTTGAAGTTTTTGTCAAATAATTTTCGAAAGACATGCCAAACCCACGCCAATAGTTGCATAGAAGTGACATTGCATAGCGCCAATATCTAGTATTACGTTTCCGTGTGCAGTCAGAACTAGTTGGGAGTCGGGCATCCGACACATACCGTAGCTGCAGGGTAATTGTACATGAAATGTCCCCACGCGAAGCTTTTGCCACTAAACGTACACAGGTGTATAAACTGGTACAATGTATGACCAGTTGGTCCCGATGATCATATGTACGGTGCGAAGACGAAACTTAAAAAGCTGCGACGATAAGACTTTCTTCCAGCATGGGGCAACGGAAGTGCTTCCACGTTGGGATGGCTATTTCTTTCCGGTCAACGCCCACGGAGCCTATGTTTAGTTTTCCGAAAGTTGCGGGCCTCAGCCCCCGTCCCCATCCCCGGTTCCGGGCCTCTATGCGTCACGGTGGTGCGACTCAAGACGCATGAGGAGTTTGCATGGCAATGCTAATTCACGGAAATGCCAGTTATTTAATGGATTTCTCATCAACTTTTTTTTATTAAAGCATTGTGATGGTTTTGCGACCTCGTCTTCCAATAAAAAATTCGTGTCGCTTTTTATTGTTGAGGGGCTTAGAAAAAACATTGGTAGGGGAGGGAGCGCTCACCCAAAATGCGCGCAAGGCTTCGCCAATAAATGCCAGCCCTGGAGACAGCAACAGATCAACGCAGTATACGATGATCATTTAGTCCTGCCGAGCGAGGACTACATGCAGACTGCTGCTGGATCTCGGCTCGCTCCGCTCGTAACCGGTCTGACGCTGGTTGCCGTGCTCCCCGGCTGCAGGTCTGCTGTCAGAACGAGGTCACCGGAGGTCTCACGACCCCCGCGCCGTACCGCAGCGCCGTCTCGAGCGCGTCAGCTCTGCTTCCCACCGAGGACGTGTGTGGCAAATCATTCTCCGGCATGCGCGTCATCGGCGGTGTGGACGCCGAGATCGCCCAGTTCCCCTGGATGGCCTCCGTCCAGGCCGTCACAGGTCAGCAGCTCAGACATACCATCCCGTCCGTCAAAGGTCAGCAGCTCAGACACACCATCCCGTCTGTCAAAGGTCAGCGGTTCGTACATACACACACCCGCAGTGTTCAAGCCAGTATCGGAATGTGCTTGTTATTCTTTGAGTGATGTTTTGCATTTTGAGTGATGTATTGGAGCTAATTATGTGAAATGCGTTGCTTTTTCGTCCTTTCAACCGTTAAGATTTTTAGATGAATGTGCAAACTGAATTTTTTGTGGCGGTGCGTTGTCTTAACGTTGATAACTGCACTGTTATATGCGACGAACATACGAATCTATCGGTCGTAGAATACCCGGCTAGTCCAGAGATGTGCCAAGATTAAAATGCTGTTCCCAGTTTCTGCATCTCCATGCTTGTCTGCATAGGAACTCTGAACTCATCAATGCCGAAAAACAGGAACTCAAGGTCGTTCCTGCTTACATCAATCACAATACATCGTTCTTCGTTTTCCATTAAATTCTTCACAAACACCACACTTTCTTGTTTCTTGCTCCTATTGGATTTCCATAAACACCATATCCTGGTTCCTGGTTCACAAAGGCCAGCTCCTCGTCCCCGGTTTTCAATGATAGCTCATGAGCATCCGATTCTAGCAACATAGGAGAAGCTGAGATCATAACACATAAAGACCAAGAGCTCCATCAACTAACTCTCAATCAATGTTGCGCGGGGTACGATAACGTGATCAAACCATGACGCACTGAGGAGAATGTTTACGGAACAGAAAAGTGTGCCGTCTAGAGCTGTCTTTTCCACTTAAAAAGTACGCCAACAGCTATAAGTGAGCTTGTTTCATTATATCTGATGTTTGCTTCAATATCTTCAAATGTGAAACATTCCCTTTAACGGAGCCACGTATTATAAATATATGCTTGAAACCCATAAGCGCGCACGCGCGCACGCACCCACGCACGAACGCACGCACCATTATGACTGTTATGCTCAGAATTGAACAAAGAACATGCTCTGTGTAAATTTCATGTCACCACAAAGCATGCCGTCGCAGGCATGATGCTGTAAATTTGAAAAAGTGTGATTGTCTGGAAAGTTCGACTTACCATCTGCCATAACGGAGTCTATGTTTGACCTGATAATATAAGAGTTAGTACCGAATGCGAGATCTTGTTGATAACAGTACACCGTTGTTCTTTTCCGCTGTGCTCTATCCTGATTAGCTTGGAAATGCGAGGTGGTGACATCACTCCCCGCCCCTATTATTCTACGTTATGAAAAACGGCGAATCTGGGCGAGGGTCAAAGGGAATATCCCACCTTTTGTAACTTTCACTGACTGTCACATCAGTTGTGTACGATTTTGTTCACTAATAACAGTTTTCTCGAAGTCTCTCTGAATAGCTAAGAGTTTTTATTTTAGCTAGTCGTCCCTTCGAGGGAAATCGCGTTTGAATCCCTGCTCACCGCTACGAATGTGATACATTTAATTTGCCTCGTTTTTACCAACGTGTGTGTTTTCTAATGTTTGCAACACACTAATGTGTCAAAATATTTTTGTAATGAGTGCTAAGACAGATTAAAACATTCTGCTTAGACAAAAACATATGCAAAAATCAAGCTGTTGCTCCGCGAATTCAACGAAACGGGATACTATGGCTTTGATTTCGCCCCTGCTGCGTTTATCACAGTGGCTCTTTTCGAGGCGCACTTTGGCTTTGGGAATAGGGGTATCGCATGATTCATGTGACGCAGTGGTTCAAAATTTACCAATGCGCTTCTCGGTAAGAGGCCCGTGCCATCTAAGCCAGGCACAAACATCCCTTTACTCGCACCAGTAGAGGTGTGCACGGTAGTTGTCATGTCGGCGGTGGTCGCAACTACGGAGAAGAAGCGCAGTGCTGTCACAAAAGGCTTTGACAGCACAATTTGAAAAAAAAAATAGTAAAATTGATATCCTTGTAATGTATTGCCGATGCTGCAGTGACACCGCATAGTGCTGTTATCAGACTAAATAGTACTGAGGTTTCACTATATGTTTTTTAAATATGCACCAAAGATGACAGTCCTTTAAGGCGAAATTCCTTTCATTTTGCCCTGTTTCTGGGGGTCTAAGAAGTTAACAAAAGCTTTTTGGTGCTTATATTGTGGGATATACAGAGCTCATAATAAGTCGCATGAGATATACGTTGTACGAGGTGATCAGCAACTGTTGTTCCAAACAGGACTGCAACCGAGTATGGTATACAATAGCTTTATCTTTCGCCTCTTCGCCATAAGTATGCTTTGACGAACACGATACTGGCGATAAGCGCTTTGTCTGGAAGTCGGTTTGGGCCGCATTTTTTAGACTGAAGTCGAACCATTTGAATAGATGAACTTCTAGGATCAGAGCTCACGCTAAACAGTGTTTGTTGTGTGAGCCCTGATCCCTACCATCCGATCGCGCAATTTCAGGCCAACGGCAGAATTTGGTAGTGGCATTTTAACACCCTGCAGTGATCAGCACGGTCCTTCCTGCCCCCCGACGTCAACTGACGTCTAGCACAGCCGCTGCCACCGGCCGCAGGCCATACCTGTCAGACAAATGGTGACCTCCTGAAGCGACTCGAATCTAGCCCGTAATGGGTGGGTAGGAAGGCGGGCGCTCTAACATGTTGACGAGACGGGTGGACAGGCAGGCGGAACGGACGGACAGGCAGGCTGGACGGACGAACAGGCAGGCTGGACGGACGGACAGGCAGGCTGGACGGACGAACAGGCAGGCTGGACGCACGGACAGGCAAGCTGGATGGGACGGACAGGCGGGCTAGACAGACGGACAGGCGGGCTAGACAGACGGGCAGGCGGGTAGGACGGATTTTACCATTAACGACAGCAATTAAATAAACTTAAAGTACAGCAAGCGTGTGTGACCCGGACGAAACTGATGGCATATCACTACGTCTTAAGCCGCATGAAATTATAGAGTTGGTTGTTAAATTGATTTCGCTTTCAAGAATTGATTTATCGTCATTTCAAGGAAATACAAGGGTATTAGGTTAACGTTGCACAGTGCCGAGCCCAGCTCAACGTGGGGAAGGTTCGATCAAGATTGGTAGTTCATGACCCCCTCAATGAAATACAAAACTCCACCGCTGCTAAACAACCGACAATCAATCTAGGAAAGGTCTTGAGCAGCCGAGGAGGCGAGCATGGTCTGCAGTGCGGGCAGCCTCACAAATATTGAGAGAGCTCGCTGTTTCCAGAGCATTGTAAGAGGGGTGAATGTCAGGAGCGTTCTGCGTTTGGTGTGAAGTATGCGCTTTTATTCGCTTCGTTCACATATATCCGATCATTTTGGGAATTTCTGATCCCTGTATCCAGACGGTCCCAACGTTGTAAATGTTTGGGGCGGGGGGGGGGGGCAGTCCCAACGTTGTGAAAGTTGTGGGGAATGCGTTTCGCACGACCCCACAGTGTCGCTGTGGGGGCGTCTGTGGTGGAATGCGTGCTCTGCAGCCGCTGCCGGATCGTCGCTGGATGCTTGCGCGCCCTCGGCTTCCACTGCCACGTCTACCAACAAGAACGAATTTATACTGAGGAGCCCACTGATCAGCATACGGGCCAGATGACATGAGTCCACGACTTTGAGCGTTATGACTCCGGTACATCCATCATTAACGCATGTTCACGTGAGCAACAGAGCCAGGGTGAAGCGATTGGCCGGTTGTTAGCGGGACAGTAGGTCCGGTCACCACGAACGGTTGTCTCCCCGCATATGGCTGTGCGCCCTGATCCATGGTACCCCACCTCCACCTTTTTAGTTGATTATGTTCAAACGCGGCAAAAACGGAAAAAACATTCATTCATAATACGCTCCAGTTGGCAGGCATCTCGCGCAACCGGCGAATTGCATTGGCAAAGACCCGCTGGATAACAATCCTGGGGCCCCTCGACCTGAACTTATCCGTACAGACTTCATGCATTCGGCGCCCCACCACACCCACACCAGGCACACACATCTGCTGACGCCCACGTCATCCCACTCATTCTTGGCTCGTACACGAGCGAGACTCATCGCCTTTATCCAGCGCCTGGATATTTTGATCGGTACGCCTGCGCGAGTTCTCGTTAAGCCATGTTAAAGTTAGGCCATGTTAAAGTTAAGCCATGTTAAAGTTAAGCCATGTCAAAGCTAAGCCTATGTTAAAGTTAAGCCATGTTAAAGTTTAAGTTAGTTATCACATTTCAGACATCCAATAGCCGCGTTTAGGCCCCATTCAAACCCTATCGGATCAGTTCGTTATCATCTTGGCACCTGCATAGCCCTTGGGCCGACATCAGGTGTCCAGACCTGGACGACGACTCGTTCCCTCGCCTGACCGCCAGGGTGACAGTCCCCTATTGGTGGGACGGTTCACCGTTCCCTCAGCCACGCCCACCGCTCGCAGCTTCCACTGCCGTCTCAGGCAGCGCCTCGGCCGGCACGGAGACGTCGCCCCCGGCGTTTCTGCGCCATCACCCCCGCCTGTCGAAGTGAGCTTTGCAAAGCGCTGTCCCTTGGCGCGTCCCTTAGAGGCCTGGCGATAGACAGCGCGCCTGATAGGACGATGGAGCCCATCGACATACAGCGAGCGCCCAGCATGATCTGCGTTTACGCCGTACGGTCTTCACGGCCGGCGCATTCTGGAGACCCAGCCTGACTGGCCTGTCGGACGACTTGGTCCCTCGTCGTCCTTCCTATAAGCGTCCATGACGGAATCTCTATCCGTGCCGAACATCCAGTCATCAAGGGCTTAAATGCACGGCGTACACCACGTCGGAAGAGAACGGGTTGTGTGCTGGTCTCTCCCGAGGCGTTGTCCACCAACAGACAGAACCAGTTACCACCGTGCATAATCCTGCATCCCAGACGGTCCCAACTGGTCCCTGGCCATTTCATGACCTACGCCTCTCCAGGTCGTCACGCCTAAGGTACAGTGAAACACAGCGAAACGAGTCGACCGTCTCTTAGTACAAAACAGAACAAAACCGCGCCTTCGAGTCGCGCTACCCACGAACATTTCTCTGCGTAGGAGCGGCACTGCAGTCGGCTGGCGTCCCAATCCTAGCCGTAGCCGAGTCGTACTGCTCAGACGCTTTTCTCGTCCATCACCCTCCGGTCACGACCCCTGCATGATTCGACCTTCGGGAGAGGACGGCATGTTGCGTATCGGACGAAAACCTGCCAGTCCGGCGGGAGTTGACCCTGTCGGTTCCAAAGCAAATACTCCGTGTAGCCTCTCGCTCTGTCAGCCTTCGATACCAGCTGGGACATCGCGAGCATTGCGATGCCGCGCACCTCACGATGCGCTCTGCGGAACAAATAACAACGTTCGCCCCTTTCCGTCATAAGTCTTGGCAATCGACTGGCCGTTCATTGTCTGCGGTGATAGAGAGGTTCGCCGGCTCTCCGGGTTCGAACGCCATCCCCTCCGATTAGAGGGGATGGCGGAGGAGGTGGAAGGACTGTCTGTATATTTCGTCGCGCCGCCAACGGGCCAACAATGGCCGCTCCTGCCGCGCGGCTTAGGCGGTGTCAATGGCGCTGCAGGCACGCCCGGGTCCGCCGGCGGAACGGCGGGCTAGATGTGGAGAGGGCTATTGGCCAGGCATCGGCGGCCTAGCCGGTGCTCCCTTGGACTCAAGGATGAAAAAGGACGAAAAAAGCAAGCACAAAAACGAGGTTAAAACGGGGTGCCAGAGGAATGTCGTCGCAACGAATAGACCAGTCTCACGCCCCCAGCTACGTGCGTCCGCGGTCTCGCGTCCGCACGTAGTTTTAGCGAGTTTTCCTCACACGTATTCGGCGTGTAGCGCGACCCCGCACCTTGCCGGCGGGTTATCAGCCCTGGACTTCCTGGCACGTCCAGACCACAAGGTGCCGTCCTTGCCCTTGCGTGCTGTCGAGTGCTGCCCTCTGCTGCGGTCGCCGATGTCAGCAGGTAGATGGCATGTGAGTTGCTTCCAAGCGCCACCCAAGCCGGTGCCTCACGAGCGGCCTCTCCCGGTCTCGCTGGGCCACGGACGGTCTCTCGAGGGGTAGCAGGCTCGGCGCACCTCGCTGCGACGCCTCAGCACCCACGAGCACAGCAGGTGATCTCCCTCCAGTCGCTGGCTAAAGCCCTGGACATTCCGTCTGCTTCAGAAAGTTTGACATCGCACACCCCCTCACCAAGCCTCTGGTGTCCGAAGCGATTCCCTCCAGGAAGAGAGCGGCCCTCGCCAACCAGGTCATGGACACCGCACGCAGATCAGTCAATAAACCGAGCTGGGCCAAGCAACACAAAGGAAAACATTGGGAAATGTGAGTACACGCGCTCGTGAAACGAACCCGTGCGCTGGACGGAGTTAGGCCGCACCGAATTGAAAAAGGAAATTAACAACTAAACGGAAACAACACAAATTACACGTGCATAAATGTCGTGCGAAATGAGGAAATCAATCGGGCCGGACCAGCGATAACGAGAATGAGGAAGACAGCGCATGCGTAATAAAATCCGTGCAGGCGCGATAAACGGAATTTGGCAACAGCTCGGCGTCTCCAGTAAAAACAAGAGGAGAGAAGAAAAACGAAAGACTAGCTATAGGGAAAGGATCCCTAAGCTGCATGGACTTCAAACAAGGCCAACCAGTCAATCGACCAAGGCAAAGCAATCGATAGCAAATGGGGAGAAGACAGCGTGGTCGTGAGGGAGTCCGCACATGCGCACTGGGCGGGACTACGTGATGGTCCGGCCTCCTCGAACTATCGGGAAAAATATTAAGAGGACAAGAAAAGGCAAGTCGTCCAGCTACCTGACGGACTAACGCCCTAACCAAAGAGCATGATGGATATGCCGGCGTTGGCCTTACGCCGCGCCTGGCCGCGCCGCGGGGCCGGCGAAGGCCAGGACGAGCCGCTGCGCCTCCACGTGGCCGCCTCCAACGGCAAAATCAAGATAGCCTCGACGCGGTCTAACGAACGAGCCGCTGCGCCGAAGTGCGCGTCGTCTGCTTTGGCACTATGCCGGCCCTTTCGCTCCCTGGCCAAATCACCCCTAGCCTCGCTTCCACGGCAAACCATTAAAGCGCGGACCGTCACATGTACTTACAAAAACCACTCACACGTATTGGCCACAACAGTGCATCGCTTTAAGCGGGCCCAGCGTTGACCTGTGTGACACATCACCCTCCCCATTTCCCCAACCACACGGGAGGGAGCAGGCCGCCGTGGCCCACGCTCGCGCGGTGGGAAAGGGTCAAGGATCACTCTTCGAGCACCAGCCCTCCATGGCTCGGTTGGGATTGGGGCAACTGCCCGGGCGCTCACATGGTGCATGTTGTCGCCGGTTTTGCGTCGCCCGCGGGGCCAGATGTCGCCGCCAGGTGACGAACGTCGGGGTCAGCTTGTCTTTGAGGCACGGCTGTTGGCCCCTGATGCACCCTCCCCCGTTTGTCGCGGAGGCCTTAAGATCTCTTTTCAGACCTCTTTGCCCTACGCTTCATTACTTTTTTATTTCTCTTAACTGGGCCGGTCCGCCCCCGTTTTCTCGCGTGGTCTCAACAGTTTTGCCGCCACGCCCTCTCCGTCCAATACGTCAGCGTGCCGGCGTGTCCTGCTTCCACCGCCATGGCCGTTCCGAACGAAAATGGCGAGTTATGCCACCTGGCCGGGGGATGCACACTGTTATGCCATCTGGCCGGGGGATGCACACTGTTTCCTCACTGAACTGGTTAATAACTGACGCCAGCTTGTTGCTACGGGCCGATCGACTGGAGCGTCGGGCAGATCCCCATTGACCTCTCGGCCTGATGATGGCTTTGGTTTGGCGAGGATGGAGAACTTCGAAATGTATGCCTGTGTCGCCGCCATTGCACACGCTATAACTTTTCTGGGCAACGACGCCGTGGCAAATGTGTGTGTTTACCGTGCTTGCGCAAATGTGCTATTTTCATGAGAGTTAGCTGTTCAACAATCTACATTACTTGGTATTGCAGCAGAAACTAGGAGGATGACTTCTAGAGAGGACAGAATAGTCAGGTTTCCAGAGGCGCGCGTCATTTGATATCGCATCAGAACCAGCGATAATCCGTAGGAGGAAACGCAACGCCCTGCTTATGTTCTTGTACGATTACGTTATACCAGCCGCGTGCATGCAGTTTCCGCATGTTGACGGTCAGCTGCGGGTGTGTCGCAGGCCAGGACTCTGAACGGCGGCACATCTGCGGCGCCACTCTCATCACCTCTCGACACGTGCTGACGGCGGCGCACTGCGTCGTCTTCCTGTCGAACCCCGCTGTTCAGCCGTAGGTCGACAGCGGTCTGACTCCGCGGCGACCGAGCACAGCTGCCTCTCGCTGCTCAGCTGTCCGCTAGGCTTATAGTGTTTCGCTTAAGAAGCCTGTCTCTGAACATGAGCAGGCGACAGTTGGGTGGTTGATGGTAGTTGATGACAGAATGCATGCAAGATTGAAACTTGCAAAGTTGCAAGTAGAGAAATCTTAAACGAAATGCACAGCTTACATGTAGGCGTGTCGCCATGTGCAAGCGCCATGTCTTGCTGATCAGGGAATCATTTTTCAGCTCAATAGCCTCTAGCCCTCGGCCTCCGTTTTCTAAATGAATCTCTGGAAGTCAGCGTGATATAAATGACTGTTGTCCGCCAACACCACATTCACCGACGCCAGCTGGCAGGGCGGCGTTACCCTCTCTACCGTCGCCTGTCGCCCGCCGCTGGGGTGCAGCTGCGCACCAGCTGATGCGACACCACCGACTGTTGGCAGGGTGTCGGTGATCCTGGGAGAACTTGACTTCGACAGCGAAATAGACTGTTCGAAAGAGTTCCCTGACGAGTGCGCCGACCCACCGATCGAGGTTGAAATCTCCGCAATCTTCTTTCATCCCGAGTTCCAGGTGAGATTTCAACGCTTTTGCCTCGATCTCGTGGTGAGGTGACTTGAGAGGCACGACCTTTCCGCGATTGAACACACGTTGCAAGTTTATCCCGTGACAATGGCCAGTACTTGTTTGGTCACATGCCTTTGCTTGTCATACATATCCATTTTCATTTTTGCTGATTTTCTCCCTGAATTTTAACTTGCGGAAAAGAGAGCAAGAACACCGTAAAGTTGCCGCCAACGGGATCGGTTCCTGGTTTCAGAACATTAAACAGTTGGCGCTGCCAAGAGACATCGCCATCGTGCAACTAGCCGAGGAGGTCACGTTCACCGATTTCATTCGGCCGATCTGCGTGCTGACAGACCTGTCCGTCCTTGAGGGCACCACTGACATCGCTCCCGACGGTCAAGCAGTGGTGGCTGGCTGGGGAAGGAGTGAGATCGGTGAGTGGTCAGCCAAGACGGGGGTGAGATCGGTGAGTGGTCAGCTAAGGCTGGAGTGAGAGAAGTGGTTGGTCAGTGCAGGCATTGGTGAGATCTGTGAGGTATCACCTGGCGAAAGTCTGTCAAATTGCCAACTGCCTTTTTTGTCGTGGCTCGGGAATAATTTATCACCTCCAAAGGCACCCTCGGCTGCCCATTGACCAGCACAAACTTGCCTGGCATTGGATGCATCGAAAGCATACCAGTGGCAGCGGCAGATGTGTATGCACCTCCAGCTGCCGGCACGTAAGCCAGGGGAAAACGGCTGCTGTGGACTGCGCTCGGCGTGGTGTACCCGCAGACAGCCAGAATGACTTCACTGCTATCCTCCAAACGACAACGTTACCAGTGCGAGCTCTAGCCAGCTGCGAGAGAGACTTCAATTTTGAAGACTTGGGCCTGGAGGGACGCATCTGCGCTGGAGCCGGCCCCAACAGCTCTGACGCATGCCGTGGTGACTCTGGCGGCCCCCTCATGATGCCAGGTGGGTGCAGAAATTCATATGACATTGTGCCGTCAGGTTGGTATTATTACCTTCTGTGTCAAGGCTGGTGTCAAGGATTTGTAGTAATCCACGCTGCATGCTGGTGTTGGGAATGCGTGTCACCCATGAAGCCAGCCTGGTATCAGGTCCGTATTCCTTCAGACGCCCCTGTTACAGGTAGCTAAGCTAAGTGCGTCGTATAAACCAAGCAGAGTGGGTCTCCTAAATCCGGGTGAATTGGTGACGTTAATCCCAAAGGTAACGGCGCCCAAAATCCACATTGAAAGAGTTCTAAGCCCATGTGGAGTGCCCCTCCCCCCCCAGTCTGCGATTAATTTATATAGACAACTTGGTTAGAGCAGGCCTAACCACAGATGGAAAGGGTCGTTAGACTCCAAGAAGAGTGGTGTTCCTACCTGAAATGGAGGAGGCCGTCTTAGCTGAGGAACACTGCACGCAGAGCAAAAGAGTTCCTCCTAGCTTATAGAAAGCCAAGGGACATCGAGCCCAAGTGCATGTTCTCCCCCTGCCCGAACAGAAAGTTGCCTGCAAATTAATGTGGAGGAGCGCCAACAAACGTTTGTAGAGAGGAGGGTCGTGATGTTTATCGCAGAGATGCGCCAAATATTGAGGAAGTCCAAGTTGCAATCCCAACTGCACGTGCTGCCAGATCCCAGAAAAGAAGGCGTCACTAAGTCCAGGTTTAGTGATGTTCATTAACACAGGTTTAGGAGCATCCCAGCCATATTAAAAAGTGTCTCTCAATCTAAGTGGAAAAACTTTGGCAAGTGCAGATCGTCAGGTGCCGAACGGGCATTTCGAGTTGCACCCCAAGCCCAGAAGCAGGAGCGCTCAAAACATCCAAGATACCGGCATTTCGGTACCAGCTGGGCGACATGATCTCTAGGTAGATGGGAACCCCCGAGATAACTTCAGACTCGACAACTGTCGAAAGACTGACATCCATATTCTTAGAGAGAGGGCGTCCCAAGTTTGTGTAGAGAGAAGCCCGCAAACGAAGGCGCATAAACAACCATAAATAGGCGCTCGAATCTGGGATAGAGGAGATTTCTAAGCAGGCATGTTCCTGGATCCCAATCCCGGATCCTATAAGGTGATCCTAGAGTCCACTTTTTAGATCAAGCCACATCTGACTCTAAACCCAGATCGGGAAGTGTACACGAAGTGTGTGGAGTGAGTAGCCTTGTCATGGATAGGAGAGCTTTAGACCTAGGTAGATGGGCGGTCCAAGCTCAGGCGAGTGGTGTTTTAAGAGATAAATAACGCACAGAGCCGATGGGGACAAGACTTGGACGGTTCAAGCCTCGGAGCAAGGGATTGGCATCTAACGCACAGGATTCGGTCGTATACCAAAGGTCTGGGCATTTTAATGTTTGCGTAGGATACACACAACATGCATCGGAGCAGCGGCCGCAGGGTATTGGCATCTAACGCACAGGATTCGGTTGTATACCAAAGGTCCGGGCATTTTAATGTTTGCGTAGGATACACACAACATGCATCGGAGCTGCGGCCGCAGGAGATTGGCATCTAACGCACAGGATTCGGTCGTATACCAAAGGTCCGGGCGTTGTAATGTTTGCGTAGGATACACACAACATGCATCGGAGCTGCGCGCGCCGTTGTGAGCAAAGCAAAGAGCATCGATTAACGGATTAATGTGGTTTTACGACTGCGATATAGCGACACATTACAGTATTAATGATAAAGACCCAGCATTGACAGCTTTAAAAAGACTCAACAGCCTTGTTTTCAGGAAATAAAATGCACTACCTTGCACTTGTTCAACTGCAAATAAATCGCAACAGCATTGTTGCTGCCCCATTGCTACCAGCATTATGTCCGAAAAAGATGGTACCAATTTCATGTACTGAATGATCTCCACAATGGCTATCTCAAGTCAAAGCGCCATACAAAAGTTGAACACCTCCTTTAAGTGTTTGAACTCAAGTGGAAATATGTGAGAAGAGTGGAAGGGAGGCTGATCGAACTTAAAAGCGTAGACTTGTATGAATTGGATTGGACAAGGTCGTGGAGGATACAAATAGCATGCACGAAAAGCTTCAACAATACGTCAAAGCAAATGTTCCTTGCCAGACATAACCATTTTAACTTGAGCCTCACTTTAACTTTTTTAAATTGAGCCTACGATTGGCGCCCTACTGAAGATCTCGTACAACGCTTCGTTCAGGACCCGGTAGAATCATGCCTCCAGTAAAGGCGCGACCCCACCGTTTCATGTTTTGCGAATTCGCCCTTTCCCTATTATGATTTCGTGACCAAACTGAAGCTTAAATCAATGGGTAGTGCTTTCTAATTGTATGTGCAGCCACGCGTTCAGTGAGAGTAGGGTGTCAGATCGTGTTTTTTTTTTTAGTGCTGGCGCGGTATTGCAACATGCAGCCGATCCTCCGATTCATCCAGCAACTTTCTTTCCTCATCGGCTCAAACAGGTACTTCAACTAAGAGTAACAACGCCGTCTAAAGTTTGCTGCCCTGTGTGCCCCTCCATGACTTGACCGGACCAACTAATTCAAACTGTTTCTTTGTTTGTTGTTTGTTTTTTTGCGGACATGAAGCAGTGCACGATATGATGAGTGGATTGGCGCAAAAGCGGATTGGTTAAATCTAAGCGCCTCTCCTAACAACAACGTAGAACAGCCATCGCCGCCAGGGAAGCCACGATCCACCGCCCACCCGTCCTATCTGTTACCTGAGACCGCCCATCCGTCCTATCTGCTACCTGAGACCGCCCATCCGTCCTATTTGCTACATGAGACGGCTCATCCGTCCTATCTGCTACCTGAGACCGACCACCCGTCCTATCTGCTACCTGAGACCGCCCATCCGTCCTATCTGCTACATGAGACCGCCCATTCGTCCTATCTGCTACATGAGACCGCCCATTCGTCCTATCTGCTACATGAGACCGCCCATCCGTCCTATCTGCTACCTGAGACCGACCACGCGTTCGCGGCTGCTCCGGTTCACACTTATAGCCGTCTCTGGCCGGCGTCGGACGCCGGGCCGGGTGACGCCATTCAGTCACCCGTCTAATGTCTGTGCCCACTGGAAGTTCGTAGGCAAATCGATCGGTTGGCAGAAGAAATGCTTGGAATATTGTCTCAGGCTGCTGCCAGGTGTGATATTGTAAACCGGTACCTATGCGATATATACTTACCTGCCCGTTGTGAGTGAGCCGTAAAGTTTAGAGTGGTGTGATCTGTTTTATGCAGCATTTAAATTTTGATTTGATGCTAATAAGAATAGTTCAATGCAAAGTGTTTTGGTCTTCATATGGATGACCACACAAGCAAGTGGCACTAAGTGTTCTTGGATTTTGAATTTGAACATGTTAACATTAAGGTTTGACATTCCCATTTTCGGCCTGGTATGTAGAATGTTACCAAATCTGGATCCATCGTGGATCCATGCCATTCCCATTCTCAGCCTGGTATGCATGATGTTACCAAATCTGGATCCAAAGCTGTAGTACGTTGGCATTGGAGGTAGGGCTACACCGCAGCGCTTTTATAATACCTGTTTGGAGGAACGAGAACACCAAGGGATTGTCACCTCAAGCGACCTTTGGTTCCATCTCCTCGTGGTTGATGGGGTGTAGGAGTTTTGGCATGTTGTGATCCTGCTCACTGAAAATGTGAGTTGATGCCTGTGAGTTGATGCCTGTGAGTTGATGCACTACGTATCGGATGCCCTGTTAAGAGTGTTCGTGCGCCAAATAAAAGTGCAGTGACGTTTGTTTGCAGCTGATGTTGATTATGGATGAGGGTATGGAACAGTGTCAGTGTATGCATGACTGACTTGCAAGTGTTTGTTCTTTGCGATTTGAAAGTGTTTCTTCTTTGTGACTTTAAAGTGGTGAATGTCACTGATGGAATACTTCTCACTGGCCACAGCGCTGCGCCTCCTTGTCGCAGCATTGCCTAAAACGGTAGGTATCCCACTCACCTACATGTACTTCAAGCCTCCGTGTTTCCGTTGTGCCTTCTCCCTGTCACTGACTGTGTGAAACTGGTGTGCGGCAGTGCGACAGGGCGTCAGATGGTACCAAACGGGCATTTCGTCGTTCGGCACGAAGGGATGTGGCAAGCTCGCATGCTACACCAGAGTCCTGGACTACACCGACTGGATACTGGAACAGCTTCGCATGCCTTAAAGGGACATCCTGCATCACGCCTTCATTACCTTCAACGGGGATGCGCGTCGTTCCCCAAAATGTGCGGTGTGAGCAGGAAAGGAAAGTTCCCCACCCTCAGCAAGAGAAAGGTGCGATAGGGTACCACCATGAATCGAGGAAAACTGGCAGGCGCCTTCCGTGGCATGAGTGCAGAAGCGCGAGCATGTGCATCGGGAGCCTTCATAACACTGCAAAGTGCTCTAGTGGTGAATCGATCGACGCTCGTGGCGGTTAGCGCCTGGTTAGGATCTGAGGTATCGTATATATCTTTTATCTAGCCAACGACTCGCTGGTTTGCTTGGATAAGAAGGCTCTGTGTGCGTTTGCAGGGAAGCACTGTGGTCGTTCACGAAGGCCTCGTTCGTCTGCTGTATAAATTTTAGTTTCCGACAGGTGGCCGATCCATGGTTAGAGCAAGTTATCTGCTTGGGCTCGGACACGTAGCGTCATGTTTTGTGTAGTGTACCAATTACGGTTCTTTTCGGCGTTATGATTGCAGAATGTGTGTGCTGAAAATTGATGCCTTTTGATGTGCCTGAGCTATGCAATGATAGCACCGTCTGGACGCACATTGGCCAGCGCCACCTACAGCACCTTCTTCTAGCAGTCCTGCCGCAAGCATTCTGCAACACTGTCCCACAAGCCGTGTGATGACAAGCAACAACCGTCTCTAAAAAGGCTGTAATCACATAGCTGTGTATGTCTACGGCGCACCTGCAATACATGTGGGTTTCGGAGTTTTTAGATCCGCGTAGTGACATGACCTCGAGGGAAAGAGTTGAAAAGTCAATTCTGTCAAAGGCCCAGCATGCAGAGGAAGCGTGCCAGTCATTCGCTCTCACGTCAATCGGGCCTTAGGTCCACTCAGTGACGTTGACCTAGTGTCCATTCAGTGACGCCTCCTCCAGTACAGCAAACACAAGTATTCTACAATGTATTCCCGTTGGACATCGAGGCAGCTTATGCAAACATCGCATATACTCTTAACAATAGAGTATATTCATAACAAGTCGACAATGCACCACCGTCCCACGCACAGTACAGAGTGGCGGCGAATAGCAGCTGGCAGTTCAGCATCAGCGCGGCAGCCTGCGGTAGAGCAGCGCTGTGCTCCGAGCGGCGCCGAGGGAGGCCGCAGCTGCTCAGTGCGGCGTCAGTGGGTCGCCGCAGTCGCCTCAATGTCTGAGATCGCAGGCATCTGGGCGGAAGTCGGCCACGCCCGGCAGAAGGACGCGTCGAGCACGCGGCCGACCGGACCCTTAGCACATGGCACCTCCGGGCGCGGACAGGGTGCCTGCCCGTGGGGGTCATCACCAGGCACGCTTGCACAGACGCCGGTCACATGGATGCATGCAGGACACGTGAGGAAGAGGCGACGACCGCCAAAAGGGAGGCACGCACCACTCGATTCGTGACAATGACACATTTGCAAACATTCGTTACGGCACAATACTGCAGTCGCATGTCGACACTTCGGGGAGGCACACTTTCAGTGCGTTGGTCGGTGCAAAGGGTCTTCTCCCATCAGCGCACTCTTGCTAAAAGCTAATATTCTCTCTCACGAGGGCGTCCTTCCGTCGTGTTTGTGCTCGCACAATCGGCACATTCGCCCTGCCTGTTGCTGCCCTATAACACTGAATCAAGAATTTGACCTTGTCCGACTAGTAGAGCAGCTTTTCTTTCTTTCCGTCTTAATCAGAAATGCTCACGCCCTTCTTCGTGTTAGGGATATCTGCCAAGAGACTGTGGGGCTTGTTTAATTCTTGTCTCTTCGAAACCGTGTTCTAAGTCGTTTTAAAAAATATGCTGTCCGGTCCAGCGATAAAGGCGGGCGAGACAAGCTGCGGAATCGTCTTCTCTAGTACTGTTATTGATCTGAGGATTCAGTTTCAGCATCATCTAATCTATCTGCCGGGCAATAGATCTGAAAGCATTAGACGATAGCTCAACCCCTGACTCGCTTTTTCTTCAGAAAATAATCATTGATTCTCAGAAGCTGCAGTAGAACCGCAAAAAGGTGGCTAACTCGTGTAAGCATTTTAATCACTTGTTTCCCTCTTCGCGTTGTAGTCTGTACATTTAGTAAGGTTTAAAACTAGGGCTCTAGCGTTTCTAATGACCAGAGTTCTACGGTTTCCTTTAGCGTGTAGATATCCTCAAGCCCGCACCGCAGGATGCAAGATGAAATCAGCCGTCTACAAAATCCAACAATATTTACCTGTCTTCATCCAATTTCCAGCCAAAACTTTGGAAGTTCTAGGAACTCCAAAAACATGTAATGCAACTGGCAGATTAAATCAGTAGGCGCTATCATACGGCAAGTGCTGTGTTTTTAAGGCTTTTAAAGCAAGTTGATTAAGTTAACGAATGGTGCAACTGAGCAATATCATGACAGGCATAAATGCTAGCCAAACCACAATACGAAACTTCAGCACACAAAATCAGCGGCGATTTTTCAAACCATAGAAAACATTTTTTACACGCGCTCGGGTGGTGAGTTACATTCGACGTCCCGAAGGTTTTCCCAACCGGTTTCGGAGCGGCACAGCGCAACCGCGACAAACTTAGCACAGCTGTAGATCATTACATAGCAGATCATTTGGTATGAAAAATGACATTCACCTAGAAAGGTCGTTGATCTATGGCAGGTCAAAGTCAAGCGATGGATATCACGACGAACATTTCAAGGAATCGTTCAATCTCATGCAATGACGAAGCGTTGGAGGAACGCATACATCCCTGAGATATTTTTTTAGGCAAAAGACAATTGAATAAAGAGATTCCATTGACCCAAGGTCTGATACGAAGGTCGGACCAAGGTCAAAACGAACCTGCTTCGTTACTCTACAGCTTGCTGCATCAGGTTGTTTTTGGTGCTCATTTCGACTTTATTGATGGCGGGAAGTGCATTATACATTCCCATAACTATCTAAAACACCAGGAGAGGTCACTGACCTAAAATAACACCAGTCAGAATTTTTTTTGAGAACATATTTCCTAGTGCTATCTTTGAAGCTTATTCAAATACAACTCAAACCAGCCTTGTATGGTTTTCATCACCGTGACCTGCGAAAGATAAAACAAGGTCATTGACCTAAAATGAGTACAAACGGGTTTTTATTGGAGCAGGCATCAATATTTTGGTAGCATCTTGGACACCAGTCTGGAATTTGACCTTGCTTCACATTTTTTTAACCCGAACTTCATGACCTGGGGAAAGTCTAATTTCGACACAAATGATTTCGCATGCAGTCAAAAACACCCCATCAATTTCGTATATCTAGCTCTCTTAAATTCTGAGACCTCAGGGGAGGTCAGTTTGCCCCCCCCCCCCGCACCACCTGCGTGCAGAGTATTGGACCGGCCACCCGGGCGCGTGTTAAAATATCCTGGTCATAAACATCGAGCAAAGGGCCTGCAGCTCCTTGCAACGCATCAATGAAGGGAAAGAAGAAAAAGGTTTATCGCACCGACAAAACTGTAACTAAGGTGCTTAAAACACGCCACAAGCTGTAGCGCACAAATCGTTGATCCGACCCATTACGAGGTTTTAAAAGTAGACATATCCCGTAACATCCATAGGATGGAAGGATGCAGAAACATTTCCATGATGTAATTGACCGCACCACCTACAACTCATACAGAGATCTCACTGTACCATGAATATGATGTAATAGTATGGTCCAAAAATTGGCTCCTCATCCTTACCTAAGCCATTCTAAACTATAACTCAACTTGACCAAAGACCCAATAAATTGGGCCAAGAAAACTGAGCAGGCACACGTCTCATTTCAGTGCACTATCTGATATACGCTTTTAAATCTTATTAAAAAGGTGGAGTATAAACACTAATAAAGAGTATATGATACTAAATACGCTTTTCACATTCTAGGACAAAGCGGATCAGTAATGGAAGTTTGTGAAGAATGGGGTTATGCAAATCGCTATCGTGTTAAACTCCCCAACGAGGATACGCAGGTGGCACAGATGACGGGAACCCTTCAGGCGCGTCAGGAGATAACGGCCGTGCAACTGTGGCGGCCGGCAGCCGCAGGGGTGGCCCCCCTCCCCACCTGGTGTGGTGTTCCCAGCGGGCAGGAGGCCACGAGGTCACCGCAGGGGCCGGCGGCTCCAGCCGCAGCCGCCGCCCCAAGTTCAAGTTCAGCGGTGCCCGGCGTGCCGCGGACGGCCCCCGTCTCAAGGGTGGGGCCGGCGACCGTATATAACCCGCCGCCGGACGACGGACGACAGTGCAGCTCTGTACCGATCACAGTCAACATGGCCTGCGTCAAGGTGAGGGACCGCTGTGCTGATTGGAGGCAAAGTCAGGAGTAGCACTCTGTCCTCTTTAAGTGGACAGCAGAAGTACCGCCCCGTTGAGTGACTTTTCCGGCAACGAGGACACGTTCGTCTTGCTCTCCGAACGTCACAGTTTACTTACAGATTTATGGCTTCAAAGAGGTGGTCACAGACAGAAGCGCTTCCTGCACACATCGATCACATGTGCACCTATTCATGCAACGTTACAAAATATCTCGAGCACCTGCGTCCTGGTACACCAGCGGTTCGGGCTTGTTCTTTCAAACTGCGGCAATCTGACGTCTAGGGGGACACACCAGCTTCCATACCCACAAAGTTCATCAGCGCCTCATGACTTTCTGTTCTCCTGTAGGTGCTGACCGCGTGTGCGCTGGTGGCCGCTGCTTGCGGAGCTCCCAGCGCCCCTCTGGCCTACGGCCACGGTTACGCCTCTGGCTACGCTGCCGCCCCTATCGCCTACACCGCCCCGGCTCCTGTCGACGTGGTCGTCGGCCACGCGCCCGTCGCCAAGTCGGTGGAGGTGGTCGACTACGTCAACCCGCACCCCAAGTACGACTTCAACTACGGCGTGTCGGACGCCTACACCGGCGACCACAAGTCTCAAGTGGAGAGCCGCGACGGTGACCGGGTGCAGGGCCAGTACCGGCTGGTCGACCCCGACGGCACCGAGCGCGTCGTCACCTACACGGCCGACGACTACAACGGCTTCAACGCCGTCGTCGAGAAGCGCCCTCTGGGATACGCCGCCGCCCCGGCTGTCCACGCCGCACCAGCTATTGCCCACGGCTACGCCACCGCCCCGGCCGTTGCTCATGGCTACGCCGCCGCCCCTGCCGTTGCCGTGACTACGGCTGTCCATGCCAAGCCTGTCGCCGTCTCGCACCAGTCGGTGGTCAAGGCTGAGGGCCCCAACGTGCCCACCGTCAGGGAGACCGTGCACACGGCCCCTGTCGTGGCCAAGGTCGCTCCGGCCGTGCACACCGTGCACGCCGCTCCTGCCGTCCACGCTGTGCACGCCGCTCCCGTCGTCCATGCTGCGCGTGCCTACCCTCACTAGTTGTCGTCAATGCTCCTCTTTTACTACACGTACAACACTTGTCCAAACACCTATATCTAAGTAACATTGTGAGGCGTGCAGAGCTGTGCTAAAATTCACTTGCGTTTGTGTGTAAGATCTGTGTTTAGAATCGTCTGCATCAACATCTTCGTGCAGAATATAAGAAGCTGAAAAGCAAAGACAGACCATTCTCCATAAGGCCCACATGCCGGACAACAAGAAATTGAGCTACTTTGCGTTCAAATCTCAACGTTGAACAAGACGCATT